CAATGGAGAGAGAAGGCATAGAACTCTAGAATAAGCACTGGACTGCTAACCACAAGATCAGTGGTTCACACCCACCAGCTGCTCTTGGAAACCCTAAAAATGGTTGCTATGAATCGATGGCACTTAACGTTATTTAAATGGTATTATTTTCCTTATTTCTTTTCAGAGTTCTCTTTGTGTAAAAGAATTGGACTGAATTTTAAATAACAATCTTGTATCCTGCCATTTTACTAAATCTTTCAATTAGTTTCATAGTTTTCTTGCTGAGTCTCTGGGATTGTTTTTTAATGTAAAGGATCATATTACCTGAAAATAGGGATAGTTTTACTTCTTCCTTCAAATTTGGATGCTTTTTATTTCCTTTGCTTGCCTTATTACCTGGACTTCCACTGGACTGCAAACCACAAGGTCCACAGTTCAAGCCTGCCAGCTGCTCTGTGGGAGAAAGATGAAGCCTTCTGCTAGAGAAGATTTAAAGCCTTGAAAACTCTATACAGGGTCACTATGAGTTGGAACCAACTCAATGGCACTTAATGTCAACAAGAACGTCCAATACATTGTTGAATAGGAGTGGTGATAGAGGGTTTCCTGGTTTTGTTCCCTTTTGCAAGGGGAGTGCTTGCATTCTCTCCATTGAGAATAATGTGGGTTGTTGGTTTTGTGTGTATGTCCTTACGTTGAGAAATTTCCCTTGCTATCTTGCTGAGAGTTTTTTTTATTAGGAATGGGTGTTGGATATTATCAAAGGCCCTTTCTACATCAATTGATAAGATTATGTGTTGTGTGTGTGTGTGGTTTTGTTTTGTTTTTTTTTTTTTTCATTTATTTATGTAGCAGATTATGTCTCTTTCGTTTCTACTGCGTAACATCCTTACATACCTGGCATGAATCTCGCTTGGCTGTGATGTATTATTTTTTTTGGATCTTGTATTGTATTCTATTGGCAAGGATTTTCTTGACAAGTTTCGCATCTACGTTCCTGAAGGTAATTTTCTTTTTTAGTCCTATCTTTGGTTTTGGTATGAGAGTTAATTTTGCTTCATAAAATCAATTCGGGAGGACATTATGCTGAATTAAGTAAGTCAATTGCAAAAGGACAGTATATGAATTATTTTAAAAAAAAAAAATCAAGGAAAGGTTTACAAACAGGAAATAACATTCCTTTATGGTTACCAGGGATGGGAAAGCAAGGGAGAGAAAATCATTACATAATTGTTATTAAGTACTGTGAAGTCAGTTCTGACTTGTAACAATTCTGTATAGGGTTTCCAAGGAATAGCTGGTGGGTTTGAACTACTGTTGCTGTTAGCAGGACAATGCTTATCCTATAGTGCCACACCAGGACTCCAATTGCTGTTGTTGTTATGTGCTGTCGAGTCAGTTCCGACCCATAGCTACCCTGTATAGGGTTTCCGAGGAGCAGCTGATGAGCCTGAACCGCCAAACTTGCAGTTCAAACAGATTTGCAGTCTGGCTCTGTAACCCACAGCGACACACCAGGACTCCAGGACTCCAATAGACACATATTAATTGGGGTGAAGGGAAGAAAGACAATATACAATAAGGGGTGATCAGCATAATATCCATAAAGAAAAGAGAGATGCACAAGAGTTACATACAACAAAGGTAAATACTATTATATACACAATCCTACACTATCAGTAACAACAAACATTAATCTACAAATGGATTCACAGGCAAGATGAACAGGTATGAATAGGCGTAAAAGACTACACTCACAACCAAATATGGTCTGGCACACTGTCTTTCTACATATATTAATTGTATGAGTTTAAAAAAAAGTTGGTCAGACTCATGGTGACTGTCTTAGTTATCTGGTGCTGCTATAACAAAAATACCCCAAGTGGATGACTTTAACAAACAAATGTATTCTTTCATAGTTTGGGAGGCTGGTGGTAGTGGTGGTGGTGGTGGTTATGTGCCATGGAGTCGGTTTAAACTCATAGTGACCCTGTACAGGGTTTCTGACGCTGGAAATCTTAATAGAAGCAGAAAGCCTCACTTTTCTCCCATGCAACAGCTGATAGTTTCAAACTTCTGACCTTGAGGTTTGCAGCCTGATTTGTAACCACTACGTTACCAGAGCATCCAAATTGAGAGCTCCAGTTCTGGAGATAAGATCTTTGTCTCTTTTGAGCATCTGTAGGCCCAGCATCCCTTTGAGATCTCCATGAGCTTTAGCAGCAATATTTCCCTAGTGTTGTTAGGTGCCATTGAGTAGGTACTGATTTATAGCAACCCTATGCGCAACAGAACGAAACACTGCCTGGTACAAGGCCAACCTCACAACTGTTGCCACGCTTGAGCCCATTGATACTGCCACTTTGCCAATCCATCTCAGTGGGGGTCTTCCTCTTTTTCTCCGACCCTCCGCCTTACCAAACATGATATCCTTCTCCACTGACTGGTCCCTCCTGACAATATGTCTGAAGGATGAGAGATGAAGTTTGGCCATCTTGGCCTCCAAGGATCACTCTGGCTGCACTTCTTCCAACACTGATCTGTTTGTTCTTTTGGCAGCCCATGGCACTTTCAATATTTTCCTCCAACACCCTAACTCAAAAGCATCAATTCTTCCCTGGATCTAGAAAATTCACAGTACAGGGATGCTAGGTCCAAAGGATATACTCCACTTCCAGTTCTTCTTTTCTGGTGGTAGCAGGTCCCTCCCCATCAGCTCACTTCTCTCTCCTTTCATATTTCAAAAGAGATTGGACCTCACCAGATGGAACACACCGGAATCAAACTGATCACATTTGTGGAAAGAGATGATGAAAACATTCATTATCAACTAAAACAAGGCCAGGGGAAGACTGTGAAACTGACCATCAACTGCTCACATGCAAGTTCAGGCTGAAGCTGAAGAAAATTAAAACATGTCCACAGGAGCCAAAATATGACCTTGAATATATCCCACTTGAACTTAGAGACCCTCACCATCTGATTTGATGCATCAGACATTAATGACTGAAAACCAGAAGAGCTGTGGGATGCCATCAAGAACATTATTCAGGAAAAGCAAATGGTTATTAGAAGACAGGAAAGAAACCAAAGACCAAAATGGCTGTCAGAAGAAACTGAAATTTGCTTTCCAGCATAGACGTGCTAAAGCAAACGGAAGACATAAGGAAGTCAAAGAGCTTAACAAAAAATTTCAAAGAGCAATTTGAGATGGCAAACTCAAGTATTATAATGAAACATGCAAAGACCTGGAGTTAGAAAACCAGAAGGGAAGAAAACACTCTGCATTTCTCAAGCTGAAAGAACTGAAGAAAAAATTCAAACCTTGACTAGCAATATCAATGGCAAAATATTGAAGAATGCAGAAAGCATCAAAATAAGATGGAAGGTAGAGAGTCACTGTACCCAAAAATAATGGTCAGTGTTCAACCATTTCAGGAGGTAATATATGATCAAGAATTGATGGTGCTGAAGGTGTCTAAGCTGCTCTAAAAGCATGGTGAGAAACAAGGCTCCAGGAACTGGCGGAATATAAATTGAAACCTTTCAACAAACTAATGCAACACTGGAGGTGCTCACTCATCTATGCCAAGAAATTTGGAAGACATCTACCTGGCCAATTGATTAGAACATCATATTTGTGCTTATTCCAAAGAAAGGTGACCCATTGGAATATAGAAATCATTGAACAAAAATATCATTAATATCATATACAAGTAATTTTTTTTTCTGAAAATAATTTTAAAATGGCCGCACCAGTCTATCAATAGAGAACTGCCAAAAATTCAAGCCAGATTCAGAAGAGGATATGAAACTAGGGATATCATTGTTGGTCTCAGATGGATCATGTCTGAGAGCAGAGAATACCAGAAAGATGTTTACCTGTGCTTTACTGACTTCACAAATGGGACTAGCAAAGCAGCAGCAGCAGCAGCAGCAATGTTCTCAAGCTTAACAACAATTGTGAGGATGGTGCAACAATGGGCAGTGTTTCCTTCTGGTCAGAACCAACTCAACAACCAAGTATCAACAAGCAAACCTCATGTGATTACTTCTTACAAATGTGACTAGTGCAACTGAGGAACTGAAGTTTTCATTAAATTTCAGTTCATTAAAATAAAATAGCCACACATGGCTAGTGGCTACTGTGTTGGCATAGTTCTACAGGATCTCTCTAGTGCAAAGCGATGTTAGACTACAACATCTTGCCCCAAGTGGCAAAGTGAATTTTGTTACACTGCAAACTCAATATAGAATTTTTAAATATATTTTGTCTACTTTCCTGGTAGTATGGCTAAATCAATTCACTACTTAAAACATTTTGTTTTGTTTTGTTTTCCCTCCTATATCTGATTTCTAATTATTTAAGATGCCAGGGGACAGAAGAAAATGTGTAAAAATAAAGTTTCCCTCTAGCAAAACTTTAACATATCTGATTAACAGAAAATTATTTCTTTTTGTAGTTTATCCTTTTGTTCTTGATTATGCTCATATGTTTATATTGGCATTTCCCATTAGAGAAATAGAAGAAAAGTGAAAAATATTAAACCTTTTCAAACTGAACAGTTATTGTAAATTAATTCATGATTGGGTGTATTCTACTAAAAACCCTGTTAGTTTTTTTTGGTGGGTTTTAGGTGATAAGTGGATGCAGTGCACTAAGAAGCAGTCTACTTTGGGTTGTCCTTTATATTTTACAAGCTATATGGCAATAATCATTTGATGCCAATAGTATGACAGGAAGAAAAAATAAGTCATTCCCTTTTTTTACTTTCTCTGCCATAAATTCACTTAAGAGTTTCTCTGTTCACCTCTTGTATTATTAAAGACATCCTCTTAAGACAGCACTTTATGTAAAAATACAGACCTTATAACATATGCATCAATTTAAAGAAACAAGTCACTTTCTCCAATTGCTTCTGATAATTTTATTGATATCAAATAAAATCCCAGTCCAGTAGTTAAGGCTAAATAAAACATACAATACCCTTTACATGGAGGTGTGAAAATTCATTTTATTTTGCATAAATATCATGATCCTTTATTGCTCAAAATGTACCTTTAAAAATAAGTTAAAGTGTTTCCATATTTTCTTTTACTAAGCATGTAATTATTGACTAAAGCAAAATATCACTGATTAACATACAGTTAAAAACATTATCAGTCATTCATATATTCTTGAAGAAAAGTGCTTGCCATATTTTATGCAAACATTTGCTTACATTTTTACTTGAACTAATGGACAATTGGATATTTTTCTTTAAAATTTACAAATGTCTTGATTCCCACTCACTATAAAAATCAAACAAAGGAAAACCCCAAATCAATCCCAAAATAAAATCCTACAAAAGCACATCAATTTTATTACAGAACACATTGTCACTGAGTAAAACTCTTTTTTATGAACACTTTTGGAAAGCTAGCATTCAGTTCCAGCACAGCTCTGTTATCAATCTGTGAACAGAAGGACACATCCAGTAAGGAAAGATCTTTACAGGATTCCAGGAGTTTTCTTAAAGATGCTGGACTTACCATTCTTGTTCCTGTTTTAAAAAACAAATCCAAACAAAACACCTTCAGTATAACAAACAAAACACTTTCATATAATATCCTAATCATGAATCATATAATATCCGAATCATATAATATCCTAATCGTTGTTTACTATTTGAAATTCACTTTAAAAAATTACCTTTTGGAAATTACAAGGATTTTTAAGTAAAAGACTTCAATATTGAAATGATTTTGTAGAAAAAAATAACTAGATTTCCCCAGCAGTTTGGTATCTAGAACCTGCGTCTTGTTAATACTTTATCTAGTATCTTGAGTCTTACATTCTACCCCTTCAAATCAGCTTCTCCAGAATTTCCTATTTCTATTACTCCAGTTCAAAACGGTTTTCACATTTCATTTCCTGTCAAATCAGACAGTAATGCTTAAAACAATTCAACCTCTAATTCCACGCAAGGCAATTACTGAGCAACTGCCTTGTTGAAGCTTTTATTTTAGGCAGTGTTGATGCAAAGATGAGTAAGACTGGTACCTACCTTAAGTAAGTCAATGACCAGAGTTGAAAGTAAGTAGAAATTAATACAATTTAGTGAATTTTACAGAACAGCAGTGGTGGGTATAAAATAGTACTACTGGAAGACAGATGATGGAAGATGATGTGTTTCTAGGCCAAAGCCTGCTGCAGTTGAGTCATTTCCAACTCACACTCACTCTGCAGGACACAATAGAAGTGCTTCATTGGGTCTACAAGGTGGTAATATGATTTTGTTGTTGTTGAGAATATATACAACAAAATATACACCGATTCAACAATTTCTACATGTACCATTTAGAAACAGTGATTATATTCTTTGAGTTGTGTAATCACTCTCACACTCCTTCTTAGGGTTGTTCCTTCTGAAGTAGCAAAAATGCATTCCCCTTCAGGGCCCTATTTAATATTTCAAGTTGCTGTTGTTAATTTGTTCCCTTATAGATAGTTCTTAAAGGTTGTAAGCGTTATGGAAGCAGACTGCCAAATGTTTCTCCCTCAGAATGGCTGCTGAGTTCGTATAGACAACTTTTCAGTCCTAGCGTGGCACTGTGGGTAAGTATTGAACTGCTAACCACAAGGTTGGTGGTTCAAACCCACCAGTTGCTCCCTGGAAATCCTGTACAGGGTTGCTATAAGCATAAAGTACTTAAAAACAACAACAATAATCACTGTACTACCAGGGCTCCTTGAGTTCTATTTGTGTGCTGTCGAGTTGGTTCTGACTCATAACAGCCCTGTGTAGTGTTTCTGAAGCTGTAACTCTTTATGTGAGCACAGACTCATCTTTCTCCTGTGCAGCAGTTGGTAAATTTGAACTGCTGACCTTGTGGTTAGCAACCCAATGTGTAACCCACTATACCACCAGCGCCTCTTATGAGTTCTACTTGTTGTTGTTAAGTGCTGTCGAGTTGGTTCTGACTTACAGCGACCTGTATCGGGTTTCCAAGGAGTAGCTGGTGAGGATGAACCACCAAAGCTTGTTAGCAATCCAATGCTTATCCTACAACACTACACCAGTGTTCCTTGTTGTTGTTAAGTGCCATTAGTCAGTTCCGACTCTTCGTGACCATGGGGTTTCTAAGGAGCAGTTGGTAGGTTTGAACTGCTGACCTTGCAATTCAAACTAACTTCGTGGTCCAATGTTTATCCTACAGCGCCACATCAGGACTCCTTGGTGGTGGTGGTTAGGTGCTGTAGAGTCGGTTCTGACTCACAGCAATCCTGTACAGGGTTTCCAGGTGGTAAATCTTTACGGGAGCAGAAAGCCTCATCTTTCTTCCACGGAATGGCTGGTAGTTTCAAACTCCTGACCTTAAGGTTCACAGCCTGATTTGTAACCACTTAGACCATGTTAAATTTAAAGTGATCATGTATATGAAACTGTTGAAAACTATACTAATCTATATAAATATATAAAACACTTGATATTTGGTAAATGAAAAACGAAACTAAAAAAATAACCCCAAAACCAAACCTCCTCTCATCTAATAGATTCCATGGTGGTTGTGTCATTAGGTGCCATCAAGTCAGTCCCACTATAGGGAACCTATGTACAACAGAATGAAACACACCCAGCTCTGTGCCACCCTCCCAATGTTATGTTTGAGCCCACTGTTTCCACCACCATGTCAATCTATCTGAATAGGCAGACACTAAGTAAATATCAAATACCACTTGATTCGAACATGTCATTTATTGTAAAGCATACTGTGCTTTACCCACAATTGCATTATATATGTATACCAACTGGGAGGGGCATTAAATGTTCTGAAATGTTCATCTATATCTTTTCCCCTGAGATTTCCTTTTCTACTCCCTTCTCCACCATGGGCTTCAGACGCTGTATCAGTACTGCTATTATTATGGCTGTGATTGGACCCAAGACAAACCAATCAAGACTCCCTTGGTTATTTACGATTAGGGTTTAGAATGAGTTTTGCCACCTAGGGTTGTGATCATCAGCTTTTTATTAGCCAGCTTTGCCCATTAGATTCTTAGTTGCCCAATAAATTAGGAGTTCCCCAAAGAGAATGCCAGAGAAAGAAGTCAAGAGAGTGAAAGTTAACCAAGTTAGGGTCCCCTTCCTATGCTTCTAGAGCACTGTATGTTTTTGTTATGTCATGTTTGCACGGTCAGTGTGCTCCTTTGGGGCAGGGTATATATATATATCTTGTTCACTATTGTATTTACAGTGCTTAAAACAACCCTCGACACACTATATGCTCAATAAATGTGTAATGAATGAAAGAATAAAGTGATGGCTGGTTAAATTCTCAATACTGGCTTCCTGGTTTAGACCCACATTACATGATTATTGCAGCTAATCTTACTCTGATTTTGATCTCCTCCGTCACCAACTCACCTATTACTGTTTTTTCAGATTAATATTCCTATAACATGACTCTGAATATATCACTCATTTTCCTAATTAAAATCTTATATAGCTCTTCCTTGTTTAATTTTGTCTGGATTCCTCACTCGGGTGTTCAGAACTCTCCATGAAAGTCTCCATTATATTACCTTTCTAAGTCCAAGTACATTGCTTATTCTCTGAAAATGTTCTGTATTTTCAGTTGAATATATCTGTAGTTCTAAATTTTTCAAAAATACTCTGTATTTTCTATACTTTTGCTTCATGCTGGTCTATGTAAAATACCCTCTTTCTCTTCTTTCCTATTTACTTTTCAAGAATCTCTTTCAAATATGTGTTAACTTTTTTAATAAAGCTTTTCCTTACTTCTCTAATCATAAATGTTCTTCCCTTCCTTTGATCCTCATCAAAATGGACTTGCCTATGGTTTGCATAACAGCACTGTGTATATCTGTTGCAATCTTCTCAAATTATAAATTCTGAATTCATAGACTGTGTCTTACTTAGCTTGTACTTAGGATCAGTAAGTATTTTCAGTATGAAGAAGGTCTATCATTCATCACTCATATGTTCTAATCACAAAATGACAAAATAGTGACTGTCATCTTAACAAAGCATACTTAAAGGGGAGAGGGGGAGGAACGACTGTAACACTAGAGAATGAAAGGAAACCAAAAATCAACAACAAAAATATTAAATAAAATACTGCATTGTTGTTAGGAGCACAGACTGGTTCAAATCTCGATTCTACCATTATTATCTGTCGGAGCCTTAGCAAGTCACTTAATCTATTTGAACCTTAGTTTTCCTATGTGTGGCTAAAATGGCAACCACTTAACAAAGTTCTTGTAAGAATGAAACCAGATAATGTAATGAGAATAGTATATAACAGTACATTCGTTGTTAGTATTATTACTACTGTTATTAGTTACTGTGCTCTTTAAAGCTGAAATAAGAAGTGGAAATATAGGTGCATAATACCTGCCTTCCATATAGACATGGTTACAGTACAGCAGATAATGACACTGCCTTCTTCTTATGCTCATGATTAAAGTCAGTATGTTCATAAAAGTTACAAATTATTTTTTAAAAAGGCATCTTAAAAAAGACAAAGGTGCCCATTTGTACCATGTATATCTAATATTGTATATGAAGCCCTCGCCATTAACACTAAAACAAGAAAAAGAAATTAAAAGTATCCAGATTGGAAAAGAAAGAAAAGATTTCTCTTCATGGATGGCATGATTCTAGAAAATAGAAAATCCCAGAGTCCACAGAAAAACTTCTATAGCTAATACAGGAATAGGGAGATTTACCAAAGTTGCAGGGTACAAGGTCAGTTAAAAAAAAGAAAGAAAAATTATTTGTACTTCTATATACAAACAATCAGAAATCTGAAATGGAAATTAGGGGGAAAATTCCATTTATAATAGCATTTAAGAGAATACAATATCTAGGAATAAATCTAAACAGAGATGTAAAAAACTAAAAACGTATACAATGACAATTATAAAATACTGCTTAAAGAGATTAAACACAGGTAAATAGAACGATGTGTTCATGGACTGGAAGGCTTAATGTTGCTAAAGGCAGTATTTCCCAAAGCAACCTATAGATTGAATGCAATCCTGATAAAAAATCCAACAGCCTTCTTTGCAGAAATGGGAAATGTCATCCCTTATCTTTAGATGGAATGGCAAGAAGTCACAAATATGTAAAAGCAAAGTTGAGAGAGAACATCTAAGTAGGATGACTTACACTTCCTGATTTTAATCATACTCTGCAGCTACAATAATCAAAACAGCCTGGTGCTGCTAGAACAACACATACATACAACAATGATAGAATTAAGAAGCCAGAAAAACCCACACATGAATAGTTTACTGATTTTTGACAAGGGTGCTAAATACATTCAATGGAGGAAAGAATAGTTGCTTTAATAAATGGAATACAGAAAATTGGATTTCTACATTTAAAAAAAAAGTTCGTGCTGCGGTCCCATGGATCTGTGTCTTGCTTCAACAGTGTTTGGAGGGAACAGACCCAGGGACTCTCCCACCTCCAGCCTCGGGCCACCTCTAACAACTTCTTTCAGCACAATCTCATCTCCAGGACCATCTTCTTGAGCATTCCTATTACCGGGACAAGCTAAACACCATTTTTTTGTTTATGTGTGGTTAGCTCCAAATCTTCGTCCAACCATGAGCTCTCAGATCCGTCAGAATTATTCTGCTGAAGCGGAGGCCGGCATTCAACCGTCTGGTTAATCTGCATCTGCAGGCCTCTTACACCTACCTCTCTTTGGGCTTCTGTTTCCATTGCGATGATGTGGCTTTGGAAGGTGTGGGGCACTTCTTCCAAGAGTTGGCGAAGGAGAAGTGCAAGGGTGCTCAGCGTCTCTTGAAACTGCAAAACCAGAATGGTGGTCGTGCACTCTTCCAGGACGTGCAGAAGCCCTTCCAAGATGAGTGGGGAAGAACCTTGGATGCCATGGAAGCTGCCCTGGCCCTGAGCCAGTCTATTATGGATCAGCATGCCTGGGTGCTACCCACACAGATCCCCACCTCTGTGACTTTCTGGAGAATCATTTCCTAGACAAGGAAGTGAAAACTATCAAGAAGATGGGCGACCACTTGACCAACCTCCGTAGGACGGCCGGTCCCCAGGCAGGGCTGGGCGAATATGTCTTCGAGAAGCTCACTCTCAAGCAAGACTAAGAAGAGCCTGTGGAACCCCGCAACCTGTGAAGGGCCTTCAGCATTCCCCTGCTCTCCGAAGACCTTCTGCCTGAACCTTGCTCTCCAGACACAGAGGCAGCGTAGTCAACACCCTGGAGCCTCTCTTCTCCCAAGCCGTTGACTAAATGAAAACAATAAAGCTTCCTTTTACAGCAAAAAAAAAAAAAAAAATAAGAAGAAGAAGTAACAGGATCCATGCCTCCTGTCATACACAAAAAAACAAATTCAAAATGGATTGAGGACCTAAATGTGAAAACTAAAACCATAAAATTCTTAAAAGAAAGTGCAGGGGTAATGTTGTTGGGTATAGCTTTTAATAAGGCGTCCTGGTGTGGCGCTGTGCTGCAAGGTGGGTGGTTTAAACTCATCATTCGCTCCTTGGAAACCCTATACAGGGTCTCTATGGGTCGGAACCAACTCGATGGCACTTAAAAACAACAACAACAACAAAAGTATAAACAGCAAAAGGCAAAATAGATAAATGGACCCTCATAAAAATTTAAAACTTTTGTTCATCAAAAACTTAATCAAAAAAGTGAAAAGACAAGGTTCTGACTTGGCGAATATCTTGTGAAACAATATATTCTCTAAGAATCCAATTACCAAAATATCTACAAAATTTAGACAACTTAACAACACAAAGACAAATAAGCCAATCTTAAATGGGCAAAAGACTTCAAAAGATATTTCACCAAATAGGACATTCAAATGGCCACTAACCACATGAAAAGATGCTGAATGTCACCAGCCACCACAGATGCAAATCAAAACCGAATGAGACACCACTTCACTCCTACGTGGATGACTGAGATAACAAAACAAAACAAAGACAAAACCCAGAAAATAAAAATGTTGTATTGGATAGGCAGAAACTGGAACCCTTATCCTTGTAAATTCTCCTCACCAAGTCATAAAAGTAGTTTTTTTTAGAGATTTCTGATAGATTCAACTATGAAATTTTGTTATTGTCTTCAAGGCTGTGAACAAGCTGAGGCATTTTCACTTGATGAATATTGCACGCAGCACTGAAAGCTGGTGCTGGTAAGTGTTTCAAGTCCTATTTTACTTAATTAAGTACCTATGTAATTTTTGTTGTTGTTAAGCACCTTCAAGTCTTTTCTGACTCATAGTGACCTCTGTATAGGTAATTACTCTCAATTGTTCTAGCTTATATTTCCTACTGAACTGAACATTCTTACAAAGACAACATTTTTACTGTATCCAAGAAGTTTCTTTTTCCCTTGCAGAAAGGTTTTGTGTCACGGAAACAAGCTTTATACCTACTTTATGTATTGCATCCTTACCTAATATGTCCAGTTGCTGTAATCTGGTACAATTGCCTGCCAGTTCTTCAATGTCTGTGTCACACACAGACCTGTTGGCTGTAAGAAAGAGTTTCTGCAAGTTTGGAAGCTGGTGTGCAAGTCTGGCGAAGCACCCAGTGCTGCTCTGCAGAGTTGGGCACCAGCCAAGGTCAAGTTCTTCCAGAAGGTGACACCCAGAAACAAGTTCTGCAATCCCATTCTCAGTAATGTTCTTACATCGCCACAGATCCAGGGTCCGAAGATTTTTACACTTGGCTCCGATCATGCTAGCTATCACATCATAGTCTTCAATCTGGAAATTAAACAATTCCAATTTCTTACATTTTGTGCTTGGAAAAGCAAACTGTACTAAAATAGAACATTCTTAATCACATCCTATTGTTTGCTTCCATGTAAATATATCCACATTCTCATTAATACAGGCCTGTCCACGCATGCCCACAAATCTGCCACTGTTTCATGAAGCAGCAGTAATCATTTACTTAAAAACTCATTTAAAGAACTCCAGACAGAGGACATTAATGAATTAAATCCCAAAGCAGTCTTATACCCTCAGTATCTCTTAAAGAATGTGAGGATTATATATTCCGTTTTTATGTCTACTGCTGCTCACTGACAGGGTCTAGTTTCTTCTGCTTTATTACGTGCTTAAAATCTTCCTGACAGAGGTGTGCATTTTGGTAGGCTCTGGTGCTGTGGGTTAATGTGCTGGACTGCAAAGTTGGTGTGAACTGCAAGGTCAGTGGTTCAAGTTCACCAGCTGCTCCTCAGAAACCCTATGCAGTGTTGCTATGGGTTGGAACCGACTCGACAGCACTTAACAACAACAAAATATTACGTGGAAATACTGGAAGTATATGAATACCAGTTTTAGGTTAAGTGAAGCATTTAGAGACTGAATATGCACCACTAAGATTATAATATGTTAATTACTGCTGTCAGTTATTGGTAGATCTCAATAACTTCTCTAAGGCTCACCACTCATTTGTCTATTTTCCGTGTGTGGTTGCTTGTGTCTTGCTATTATGCTGGAAGCTATGCTCCCAGGAATAGCTTTCAAATACCAGCAGTCACCCTTGGTGGATAGGTTTCAGTGGAGGTTCTAGACTAAGAGTACTATGAATGAGGATCTGGTACAAATGAGGCTCTGGTAATGTACTTCTGAAAAAAATGGTCAATGAAAAATGTATGCA